TTCATTTCAAAGTCAGCCATGTCTATCCATGAAAACATTTGTAAGTTTAGTTCCTCCAGTTTCATGCTGTCTGGAAACCTCATGAATTTTGCCGTCTCTTCCAGTTCTCTGAATTTCGCAAGTCTTGAGAAGAAATGCTCAATAGTTGACTCGATGGTGTTTAAAACGAGAAATTTTTTAAAATATATTTTTATTGATTTCAGAGAGAAAGGGAGAAAGAGAGATAGAAACATCAATGATGAGAGAGAACCATTGATCGGCTGCCTCCTGCACACCCCCCACTGGGGATCGAGCCCACAACCCAGGTATGTGCCCTTGGCCGGAATCGAACCTGAGACCCTTCAGTCTGCAGGCTGATGCTTTATCCACTGAGCCAAGCCGGCCAGGGCGAATCACTGAACCTTTTATACAGTAAATGACACTGTAACAACCCTCATGGCTTTGAATCCACCTCCTCATCGAATTCACCCAGGTTTTCCAGCTTTCAAAATATTACCCATCCTCCTAGATCAGCCGATGCCGCGGACAATCTCTTCTGGTGTCAGTGGCGTTGCTGCCTCTTGTGACTCATCTCATGGTCGCGGGCTTGTCCCTGCATCTTCTCCTTGGTTTTCCACCTCTAATCAACGTTTGCTTTTTTGAGCACTCAAATGAATAGGACAATTATCTCCACGAGGCTTGGATCTCCCTCAGTGGTGCATACTTCCTGTGTGTGAATTTCTTTTTTTTTTTTAAATATATTTCACTGATTCTTCTACAGAGAGGAAGGGAGAGAGAGAGGGATAGCAAGTTAGAAACATTGATGAGAGAGAAACATCGTTTCAGCTGCCTCTTGCACGCCCCCCACTGGGGATGCGCCCGCAACCCAGGCACATGCCCTTGACCGGGATGGAACCCGGGACCCTTGAGTCCGCAGGCCGACGCTCTATCCACTGAGCCACACCAGCCAGGGCGTGTGTGAATTTCACTGACTGCTGTCTACCTACCAGCTGGACTGCCTCCTGTGATCTTGCCCATATGTAAGCTCTTATCCGAGTTTTGATGCCCCGAATTCCATCATGCCCAGGTTTCACTCATTCTCCTCTCCAACCACAAACCCCTCACAGGTGCAAGGATCCCGCGAAGGCTGAAAATCACCGTGTAGACAAGATCCAGGCTGGCTGTGATCTCCTTTTTCGTTAGGATCCAAAGAAGCCGGGGGACAGGTAACCAGGTGCCTGGGAGTGAACTCCGAGGATTCGGCATGGCCTCCACCAGATGTGGGCAACTTCTGTGCCCAGGTTAGGGGCTGCCAGGGGAGGGACTTGCGGGCTGTGGTTGGCAGCAGTGCTGCAGGTGTATTTCCAGGAACTCCGCAGGCATCGGCATTGCCAATGAGAACATCACGAGGCCGAAAAGGAGATCTGCAGAATTGCTACCTCTGTTCCAACCCCACCGGCCAAGCAGCTCTCTCCACCTCCTTCTCAGAACCCTCCCAACTGGCAGCCCGCTGGCTTCAAAATGTAGTTTTACTCTTTAATTCAGTGATTTTGATTTCTCTTCCTAGGAACACCCATCGTCGAAGGCCTGCTAGACCAGAACCCTGAATCAGCTTGCGATCCAATAGTTCATACAGCAAATGGTGCAACCGGTCTTGCACACACAACGGGGGTGAAAAACCCGTCCTGATATCACCCCAGACACTAACTCCTGAGGAGGTCTCATTTGAAAGCGAGCTCTCCAGATCCCCCCGTCATCGATCCCAGTCATCTCCCCACGTTGGAAAATTAAGGCCACTGAGGATAGATTAGGCCTGTCTTACGCAAGACGGGGATTGAATAAAGTTTGTCTCCACTAAAGTCCAGACGTATGTTTTCCCTTTGGACTCTTGATTATTTTTTACTTATTAATCAGATCCTTCTGTGTCTCTTTATACCTGGAAGGCACCACTTCAAGCACTTGACAAATATGTCAATCCCCATAACAACTCTAGGAGGTAGGCAGTATTCTGATGCCCAGAATACATATGAGGGGACTGGGGCACAGAGAGGTTAAGCAAGTTTCCTAAGCTCACACAGCTGGAAAGTGGTAGAGTTGGGGCTCTCTCGTGACAGTCTTCGCTCCCGTTCTCTACTATTGCCTCTCTAGCAAACGACCAGGAGGTCACTCATAAAAAGATGGAGGTTCCTCGTGACAGTCTTCGCTCCCGTTCTCTACTATTGTCACTCATAAAAAGATGGAGGTTTTCACATGATCTTCTGGGCCCTGGCTTTTGTTGTTGTTAATCCTCATCCAAGGATTTTTTTTTAAATTGATTTTTAGAGAGAGTGGCAGGGAAGGGGAGGGACGCAGAGAGAGAAACATTGATGTGTCTCATATCAATGGATTGCCTCCGGAGACCGAGCTTGCAACCCTGAAACATGCCCTTCACCGGAATCGAACCCGAGACCCTCCAGTTCGTGGGTCGACGCTCTACCTATCGAGCCAAACCGGGTAGGGCTGGGCCCTGGCTTTTAAGAAGTCAAGGACTGTCTGAAGAATGGTGGTGAATATCGGAGCTAGATCTCCTTGAAGGTTGCAGGGACGCACACTCGGCGCAGTGACACAGGCTGGCCGCCTGGGGGCGCCGGCCCCGCTCGCGGAGCCTGGAGCGGGAGGAGGGAACCTCGGATACAAATGTCAGGCTCAGACTCGCAGGACCTCAGAAGGCGGAGAACACAGCATCTTAGAAGCCGAGAACAAAGCCTCTTAGAACGTAGAACAAAGGCCCCTGGAATCGTAGAATGGTGAGCGCAGAGCCTCGCCGCATCTGGGAGACAAAAGACGCTTAGATTCTGTTCTGGCCGGATCATAGCGTCTCCACCCAGGTTCTAATGATTCCAGAATTCGGGATATAACCGATCTCAGGCTCTTAGAAGCAAGACTGGCGACGTAATTTGCGAGGCCCAATGTGAAATGAAAACCCGGGGCCCCTTGTTCAAAAATTAAGAATTTCAAGACAGTAACAGCAGAACATGAAAACTAAGCGCCTGGATCTTCTGAGCTGGCCGCATGCAGCTGTGCCCACCCCACTTAGAAGTATAATTTTATGGGAGGTTCTTGATCTTAGCTAGACTGGCCCTCTAGTTTTACAGCCGAAAGTCTGGGAAGGCTTCGTGGAAGAGGAGGCAAAATCAGGGCTCTGTTCTTTAACCTTTTTCTCCCCCTGTTCAGCCTCAGAAGCTGAAGGTTGCGAGGAGTTGAGGGGAAAGGAACATCTGCCAAACTGTCACTTGGACCCGTTCTCTATTTATAGAACACCTCTATCCCTGCTGCCAGACCGTCCAATGGTAGCCAGAGCTCGCCCGCAAGGGGGCGGAACCCGCTGCGGGACCGGAGAAGCACGGACCAATGATATTGGAGTAAGGGCGGGCTTGTTTCATTGTGACGCGTGGGGGGCGTGGTCACGGACCAATGGCAGGCTAGCGTGGGGGGGCGTGGCGAGGCCACCAGAGAGCAAAGCAAGTAGGCAGCCGCGAAGTTGCGAGCATGCGTCGCGTGGAGGGAGTGGGGCGGCGCGTGAACAGCGGAGCAATAGGTAACGGTTGCTGTGTGGCCGGGGGCGTGGCCATGCAGATGAGACGCGGGTGGGCGGACCAATGGGCGGGCGCCTATGCAGATGAGACGGTGAG